CCGGCGGGGAGCTGCGGTACTACTGCGTGCTCTGCGGGCAGGGCCTGGAGATGCTGCATGGCGTGGCCCCTGCCAAGCCTCCTCCCCTGGAGGCTCCCTAGTAATGGGGCAGGCGTGTGGCACATCCTGCTCCCCACCTGCCTGGGGAGAGCACCCTGCACTTGTGCTCTGCCCATCACCGCAGCCCCTGTCCCAGCCTGCGTGCTGATGTGTCCCCTCTTGAGGGGACGGGCATGCTTGGCTCCTTTGGGGATAGCACAGCCACATCTGGGGTGCTCAAGGCTGGTGGTCTCAGGGGAGGAGGCAGATGTGACCCCTCCTGGACAAGCCTGCGGCTCCCCAGGCAGTAAAGGAGGAGTGGGGTTGTCCACCCACCCTGCCCAGGAGACGCTCCTCCTCCCCGAGGTGTGAGGGACCTATGTCCTGGCTTTCCAGCACTGCTCGCAGAGAGGAACCTGCTCGGGAGGGTGCTGAGCGCCATGCCCAGCCCCGAGAGCTTGAGGGCAGCAGGAGGCCAAGACAGGTCAGGCGCTGGTGCGGCACGTGGCAGGCTGCCGCGTGCGACAGCCCCGACCCTGCAGTGCTGGGGACTGTGCTGAAATGAGTGGGGACGCTGATCCTCCACAGCAGCACCCTGCAGGGCGAGGGACAGCAGCCCACGCATGCTGTGCCAGCCTGGGCCTGGTCACCCCTGCCCCAGAGCAGCCCTTCACGCTGCCTCAAGCTGCCTGGGTTGTTCCTGCGCGGCAGCAGGACCCAGCACAATCGGAGCACAGGCCAGGACAAACAGCTGTGCATGGCCCCAGCCCCATGTGGGGCAAGGTGCTCTGTTGGGGGTCAGACACACACAGCATTTGTCCAGCAACAAGTGTATTCAGGAGCTTTGAGCCTCAGGAGCTCCCTGCCAGCACGGAGCAACCTTCAATAAATGGCTTTGAGGAAAGCGAGGTTGGTGCCTGGCTTTGTGGTGCCCTGGTCCCCGGTTCTACCTCCCCGAACACTCCCCAGCCCAGCTCACAGGATGCCACAGGCATCCGCCTTTCTGCTGGTGCGGACGTGGCAGGCGCACCCATCTCTCATGCTGGGCACAGCCACGGGGTGCACGTAGCCAAACACTCAAAATGTGGCAGCGGGAGGGGAAGCACCTGCATGGGGCTGAGGTGTGCCCTGGCTCCCTGCCTGACTGTTGGGCAGCCCGCTTGCCCTGCCAGGGAGGACGTGCCCTGTCCTTCCCCTCCGTGGCACGTTGTCCTGGTGCCTGTCACACAGTGGCACGGCTCTTCAGTGGTGGCTCAGATCTGGCTGAGAGGAGGGAGGTGCAGAGTCGCCAGTGCGCTGTGGAACACATCCCTCACTGCTCCCAGCAGCTGGAGGCGGGCAAACATCTGGTCGAAGAGGTGAGGGAATGGCTCCTGTGGGGAGAAAGGCAGTGACTTGGGGCTGGTGGCCATACTGCCTCTCGACGGGCTGGCCCTAGAGGCACTGCTGCCTCTACACCCTGTGTACACATCCTTGAGGGGCTGCTGCAGGGCTGCAACACGTTGCTGGCACCCTTGAGCCCATTCCCCGCACAGCTGCCCTGCAACTGCAGGCCAGCCCCAGGAAGGACTGCAGGGCTGCAAGTCAGGACATCCAACTCACCCCCAGGACGTGGACCCGGTTGTAGTAGGAGCTGAAATCCATGCTGAGCTGGATCAGGAACTTGCACACCTGCAAGACAAGAGCTTCTGCTGGCACGGTGGGGTCTGGCTGGTCTTGGGCCCTTCCCCACCCCAAGCACAGTAGGAGCAGCCCCAGGGGCGTTGCAGTCTCATCCCTCCACACCACCCCTGCTCGCTCACTGGTGGGCAGCACCCTGCCGGCATAGCCTTGCCCTGGGCTGGGACTCTTGGAGCAGCACCCATGGGTGCTACGGCACGTGGCACTTACTGTCTCTGTGTTGGCTGTGATCCGGATCCCCTTGGTGGGTGTGGGCAGCTGTGCTGCCTGCTGCAGGACTTCAGGGAAGGGCAGGAGATAGTTGAAGAGCAGGAGCCATTCGCCCTGTGAAAGGATCACATGTGTCGGAGAGGGCCAGAGCCTCCTTGGCCAGCAGCATCCATCACTGGAGCTGAGGGTGTGCAGGTCCCCACATTCCCCATCTCAGCACTCACCTCTTCCCGGAGGCAGGAGAAGTTCAGTTCTGACGCTGGTGGCAGAGGCGGGTATGTGCCTGGAAAGGAGGTGGGAGACTGTTATTGTGCCCAGAGAAGCCCCTGTGGCTCCAGGCGTGAGGAACAGCCCAGGAGCAGCTGTTAAAGGAGGGTCACGGGGCTGGTGCTCACCCCGCTCCACAGCCCGCTGGTAGGTGTCAAAGAGCGTGGCCAGCCGGGCACAGTTGTACATCACGAAGGCGCCGCTCTTGGTTCCCTTCGTGGAGATGCTGCTGTCCTCCAGGTCCAGTGTGAGCTGAGGGCAGGAAGAAGTCGCAGTCCAGGCTGCTCGGCACAGAGCCGCTCCACTATTGCCACAGCTTGCCTGCCCTGGCTCTGCGCAAACCGCTGTCCTACCTGACTCTGGTGAGCAGTGCTCAGCATCTCAAACCTGATGGCAGCCACTGTGAGGGTATCAATCACCTCAGTCCAGGCCTCATCTGCAGAGAACACAGGTGGTGTCACACACAGCTCGCTCCACTCCTGTGTAACGTCACCCCCAG